GTTCTCCAAAGTACTGGTGCCAGAGCACCCATCTGTTTGTCTTTACCCCCTCACATTCTGTCTTCACCGCAGGGTCTGTGTCCCTGCTTTAGTGCCCTCTCTTACCGCCTTCTTGGCTCCCCTTAAGAGGTCAGGGCTCCTGGGACCACTTGAGGCTGGATGCACTGCTGTGTATCCATTCTGTGGCCCTACAAGCAGATTGGTGATCTTAGCTGCTTAATTTCCCAGGGGAGGCGGCCATCAGTGTGGTCCAGTGGAATGTAATCAGGGGCTTGACTGTTTCGGCTTCCCCAAAAGTCACAGCTGCCAGATCTTGGCCTTGCATCCTGGGGGTAGGGGGTTGTGGGGGTGCTGTACACCTCTCTCTGGACAGGCCTAGTCGGGTGAAATTTCCTCCCGGACTGCCTCTTTGCATTCCACATTTCCATCACCTTTTCCTGAATATCCTGCTGGGTTTTTGACTTCTGCTGTTCTCCAGTGCATGGCCGGAAATGAAGCAGAGACAAGTATTATTTCTAGGCTGTCAGGGACCCAGAGGAGCAGGCAGAGACTCCTTTCCATTTGCTCAAAGACACCTCTCAGGGAGTCCAGGCCTTCCTATCAGGCATCCAGGCCCTCCTCTCAATCATCCCACGGCCTCCAGGCCACCATTAGCCACCGCTGATTGCATTGACTTCTCTCATCAGTGTCTTTGTTTAAAATGCCTTTATCAAGGCATACTTTTTTTTTTTTAACCTTTGTAGAATAAATCGTCCTTTATTCTGTGAATGCCTCTGGTAAGAATTTTCTTTCTTTCTTTCTTTTTAAAATTTTTTTCATTTATTTATATTAGTTGGAGGCTAATTACTTTACAATATTGTAGTGGTTTTTGCCATACACTGATATGAATCAGCCATGGATTTACATGTGTTCCCCATCCTGAACCCCCCTCCCACCTCCCTCCCCATCCCATCCCTCTGGGTCTTCCCAATGCACCAGGCCTGAGCACTTGTCTCATGCATCAAACCTGGACTGGCGATCTGTTTCACAATTGATAATATACATGTTTCAATGCTATTCCCTCAGATCATCCCACCCTCGCCTTCTCCCACAGAGTCCAAAAGTCTGTTCTATATATCTGTGACTCTTTTTCTGTCTTGCATATTTTTCATGCAATAGAACCCACTCACTTAAAGCATCCCCTGCAGTGAGTTTGGGGTAAATGTGTGCACTCACGTCGTGTGCACCCATGGTCAAGGGTGAATATTTCCATCCTCTCTGTGTCCTTGTTTGTTCCTGCTATCCATCTCCCCTGTCTCACCACCGCTGACCCAAGCAACTACTGATCTGATTTTTGATGCTAAGGTTTTGCCTTTTTAAGAATTTCCTGTAAATGGAATCATGTGGTGTGTAGTCTTCTCTGTCTGGCTTCTTTCACTTAGAATGCACTGGAGATTCTTTCTTGTTGTCCTCAGTAGTTCTCTCCTTTTTGTTGCTGAGTTGTGTTCCATCGAATGGATATTCTGTGTTTTGACAGACATGGAGATTTTTTCATTCTGTGACTGTTGTGAATGCTGCTAATGTGAACACTGGCGTACAAGTCTTTGTGTGGACATATGTTTTCATTTCATTTGCGTAAATACCTAAGAGGGAATCTCTGTGTTGAATGATAAGTGTGTATTTAACTTTTTGAGAAACTGCCAGATGGTTTTCTGAATAACCTGCGCTATTTTGCATTCCCACAAAGTCTGAGTTTCTGTGGTCCCTATCTTTGCCCAGCACTAGGTATTATTATTATAATTTTAGTGCTTCTTGAGGGAGTAGTGTTACCTCATTGCAGCTCTTTTTGGTCTTTGTGTTTTGTCTTTAAACCTTCTTGTGAAATAAGTTTAGATTCATAGGATTGTTATAAACGTCATAGACAACCAGCATCCTTTAACACAGTGGTTCTCAAACCAGGGTGGGATTTTGCCCCCGATAGGCATTTGACAATATCTAGATGCTGATGCTGGGAAAGATTGAGGGCAGGAGGAGAAGGGGACAACAGAGGATGAGATGGTTGGATGGCATCACTGAGTCAATGAACATGAGTTTGAACAAACTCTGGGAGAAGGACAGGGAGGCCTTGTGTGCTTCAGTTCATGGGGTTGCAGAATCAGACATGACAGAGAGTGAACAACAGCAACAATAGCTATTTTTGATTGTCACATCCTGGGGAGGGGCAGCCAGGGGCCAGTACTGACACTCAGGGGGAGGCCATTTGAGGTTGAGGTGGCCATCGGATGTCCCCTTGGACCTTTTCCTTCTGCATTTGCTGGTCACTTAATTCCCTCCCGCTGTCATGGGACTTCTTTTCCAAGTCTATCTAGGCCTGAAGAATCTGTTGGAGAAGGAGAGAGAGGTTTTCTTTTGTGCACATGAACAGTTTTAATCTCCTGAGACTGCCAGCCTGGAGGATATGGGTCCCCTTGCTAGAGGATGTAGACCCATGTTGAATGATCACCTTCAGACATCCCTTGATGGGGTTTTCTCCCTCTAGATGGAGGTGCACCCTGATTGCATTACCAGCTTGGAACGCATGCTGGAGTGAACACACATGTGTGGACCCTTTCTCATAGCCACTGCCAGGTTATGGCCTGAGGGCTCCTTGCTATCTTCCTGGACTTCAGTAACAATGAAGAAGACTTCCTAACAGTAATGGGGATCATGGTCAGATTGTCAGAAGATGCAGGTTTGTACAGGGACTAGAGGCTTCTACTTTACCTTGTGCTTTTCCAAGAAATTATGTATGAGCTTTGATAGCTCATTTAAAGTAAAACCTGTTTATTAATTGGGAAACTATACACAGCATCTAACTATGAGTAGATTTTTGTCATGAAGAATCACCTCTTAGTTGGCATCAGATTAACCTTATTTTTAGAAAATTAGAATGACTAAGGACATGGAACAACAGACTGGTTCCAAATCAGGAAAGGAGTATGTCAAGGCTGTATATTGTCACCCTGCTTATTTAACTTATATGCAGAGTACATCACACAATATGCCAGGCTGGATGAAGCGCAAGCTGGAAGCAAGATTGCCCGGAGAAATATCAGTAACCTCAAATATGCAGATGACACCACCGTTATGGCAGAAAGCAAAGAAGAACTTAAGAGCCTCTTGATGAAAGTGAAAGAGGAGAGTGAAAAAGTTGGCTTAAAACTCAACATTCAGAAAACTAAGGTCATGGCATCCAGTACCATCACTTCATGGCAAATAGATGGGGAAACAGTGGAAACAGTGAGAGACTTTATTTTTTTTGCGCTCCAAAATCACTGCAGATGGTGACTGCAGCTATGAAATTAAAAGATGCTTGCTCCTTAGAAGAAAAGCTATGACCAACCTAGACAGCATTTTAAAAAGCAGAGACATTATTTTGCCAACAAAGGTCCGTCTAGTCAAAGCTATCGTTTTTCCAGTGGTCATGTATGGATGTGAGTGTTGGACTATAAAGAAAGCTGAGCACCGAAGAATTGATGCTTTTGAACTCTGGTGTTGGTGAAGACTCTTGAGAGTCCCTTGGACTGCGAGGAGATCCAACCAGTCCATCCTAAAGGAAATCAGTCCTGAATATTCATTGGAAGGACTGATGCTGAAGCTGAAACTCCAATACTTTGGCCACCTGATGGTAAGAACTGACTCATTTGAAAAGACCCTGATGCTGGGAAAGATTGAAGGCAGGAGGAGAAGGGGATGACAAAGGATGAGATGGTTGGATGACATCATTGACTCGATGGACATGAGTTTGAGTAAGCTCTGGGAGTTGGTGATGGATAGGGAGGCCTGGCATGCTGCATACCTGGGGTCTCAAAGAGTCGGACATGACTGAGCGACTGAACTGAACTGAACTGAAGGACTTGGAATGTTGTTTGTCCTGGCAGTTAGGACTTTTTGTATTTTGTGAGTTTTGCCAGACTACTGGTTGCTAAGAAATACCAAGTCAAAAGAAATCCTTTGGATTAGAACAATCCCAGTCATTAATTTCCCTCATGATCTTTATAGGCTAATCTTGATTTTTCTTTCTCTTTGTACCTCTCCATAATTACTATCTTGGAAGAAAAGCACACTGCCTTATGGTAGATACTAAGACATTGTCCATCTCCCCCACCCCGCCCCCCCCAAACACACAGAGTTGAGATCAGAAAAATGAGTGACTAGTGGAGTCGCCAGTATTGACGGCTGCTCTGTACCCGTCACTTGTCCTCTGCATGTATAGTGACCGGTGAACAGCTTCAGAAAGTTTCCAAAATCTTAGGCTTGTTCTAGATTTTGATCATTTTGCTAGAAAATAGAAAAATAAGCCTTTCATATTGCACTCATATTAGTTTAAAATATTCATTTATTTTAATGTGACACAATGCTTTTAAAAAGGCCCAAGTGGATGTTTTGAGTCCTTAAATGGATTCTCTTTGTAAATGAGTCACCATTTACAGTGCTGAAGCAATTATACATTTGTGTTAAATTTAATGTGGTATATTGGAACTAGAGCTGCGCTCTTTTGTTTAATGCTGTTGCCTCCGAAGTAATTGGGATGCGTGGATTGTGGGGGAGCACATTTATGAAAGAATTGTTTATAATGTATACATTCTGGCTAGAATTTAAATAAGCACAACCCATAGGTCTGGCATATATGCCATTAGTTGTAATGGGTTTTGGACGCTGGCCCGGCACGCAGACCTCCTGTTCCCGCCTAGATTTATATATGGCTTGTTATAATAGAGTTGTCATTCTCTCTTCTTTTTATGTTTTTATATCACCCTATAGCTTATTAGCTTTTTAAGCTTGTCTGAAGCATAAACACTCTAAATGGGAAATGATTTTTAAACTGCATTTGTCTAATTTCCCTGATGAAGTATTTTAGTAAGAAAAGCTTAGAAACTATCAGTTATCTACTGTATAAGATGCTTGGCTTATTCTTATATAATTCTTTTGCTCATTTTTTTTTTTTTATTGCTGCAGAGCCCACAGTGCGGACTGAGCTGATGGAGCAGATTCCTCCTCTTGCCATTTTTCTACAAGAAAACAGATCAGATTTTCCAGTGGTGCTCTCTGAATGCCTCATACCCGTCATGGTGAGGTACCTCACAGATACAGACAATCAGGTGTGAAAAATTACAACCTGAAGGTGTCTGCAGCACACTCTCTTTCGTCTTACTTTAGCTGATATTCATAATTCAGAAAACAGCCACTTAGGATTTAGTGACTCCAGAACAAAATGTCTGTTTTTGCCCAGTTTCTTTAATCACATAGGAAAGTAGAAGGCATGCATTCTTATTATCATGAGCTATTTCTCTCTCTTTTTTTGAGAACTTTATTATGGAAATTTTCAAACACATCCAGTAGTCCAAGAGGTATTAAAATGAATGTCCACGTACTGTCCACCCAGCTCCAACTGTCATTAACATTTGACCAATCTTTCTTCATTTTTCTTACCCAGATAAATGCAGTCCCCAGACATTTCAACTGTACATGCATTAGTATCACTCCCTAAGAAATACAGACACTTAAAAAACTCCCGTAATGACAGCACCATTATCACAAGTATAAAAATTTTCAGTGGTTCCTTAATAATATCATCTAATATCTAGTCCTGTTCAGATTTTCCCAGTTTTCTCATACATCTGCTTTTTGCAAATATTCTGTTCAAATCAGAATACTCCAAAGTTTCATATACTACATTCAATTGTTGTGTCTTTCAAATCTCCTTTAATCTGTAGTAGTTCTTCTTCCTCTGCTATTTATTTGTTTAGGATACTAAGTTATCAGTTCTATAGGGTTTCCTGCATTTGGGATCTGGCTGATTGCATTTCCAGTGCCATTTGAGATGTTCCTATATTCCCAGTGTTCCCTCCAAATTGGTGAAGTCTAGAGGCTCAGTCAGACTCAACTTTTTGTATAGTATAGTGAGAACACTTTTTAGATGTTGCTGTGTTTTCTTGCTGCATCAAATCAGGAAGCACAAAGGCCATGTGGTCACTGGATTAGGTTCTGTCAGCCTTAGCTGTTTATGATAAAGTTCCTCACTGGCCTCTAAGCAGCCACTAGTGAGCCTTGCCCAGATATAGGATTTTGTTAGAGGTTGCAAAATTGTGATGCTCTAATTCCATCATTCCTTCTTTTAGTTTTTATTTAAGTCCAGTTGATTTACAATGTTGTGTTAGTTTCAGGTGTATGGCCAAGTGATTCAGTTATACGTGCATGCATATATATATATATATACACATGCAGTATATATACTCTTTTTCAGATTCTTTTCCCCTATAGGTTATTGTAGAATGTTGCGTGCAGTTCCCTATGCTATATAGTAGGTCCTTGTTGGTTATCTATTTTATATATAGTACTGTGTATCTGTTACTATCATTCCTTCTTAATTTAATAGCTGGAATACTTCTGTAAAGACCTTCCCTCGCAGCTATTTGGTAACCCTGAAAAACTGTCTAGGGGAGACAAGTTAAATGCTTTACTCTCGCCCTTTATCTGCCAGTTTTTAGAAGAATTAGTTGGTGTTCTAATAACCTTCAAGGTTACCAATTAGGTTTTGAAAATTTATTTTAAGCATTATTATGAACTCCTGTATCTTAACATATTAGATATGTCTTAATCCACCATAATTTTTATTCTTTTTGATAATCAAATTGTCCTAGTTTGACCAGTGGTGGAACCCTTCAAGGTGGCTCCTGAATCTTCTTAATGTGACCCAGGAGACTTTGCTACTAGCTCACTTCTACCTGGAATCAGCCATTTCTCCAAGGAACCCTGGTTCCTTTATGAGGGAAATGATAATACGAAGCCAGAACATGGATACCAGAGGTACTCACTTTTACAAGATTGGTCATGGCTTTTAGTGACAGAGCGATTTATTTTCTTAAAAAATAAAAATTCCTCATGAGTGTATATTGATATTTCCTACTCAAATTTAGGATTATAGGGCTTTTGTACATGTGTGCTAAGTCGCCTCAGTCATGTTCGACTCTTTGTGACCCCATGGACTGTAGCCTTCCAGACTCCTCTGCCCATGGGATTTTCCAGGCAGGAATACTGGAGTGTGGTTCTATACCCTCCTCCAGGGGATCTTCTTGACCCAGAGATCGAACCTGGGTCTCCTCCATCTCCTGCATTGTAGTCAGAGTCTTTACCACTGAGCCACCGAGGAAGCCCTTTAAGGGCTTTTACTTATTTGATTTTATTTGTATCTTTTTATTTGATTTTTTTTTTACACAGTATAAATCTGCCTTCTTAATGGTATTTATGTGTGTATGGTGTATGTGTATCTAAAATAAAAATAGCAGCATTATTACTAACAGCCTGGTAGAATTACTGAGTATAGTTTACGATTTCTTTGCAGTTCTTTTTGCTTTCAGGCTCTTTCCTGCTGGAGATGTACAGGCATATTACTATCAATGTGCTTTAAAGTCACTTGCACTAACACTTCTTTTTGTGGTTAAGCTGCCATCTTGATACACAGTTAGGCTCATTTGTTTTCATTTATTTTTCATTTTTAGGGATTGCTTTAGCTTTTACATGTTGATTTAATTTAGATGTGTAATTATTTAAAATGTTTTTACATGATTCTAAACTCAAAAGTGTAAAAGAAAGTACATTTAGAGAAATCTGATTTCCACTCCTGCCTCCCTCACCATCCTCTCTCTCTCTCCCCGCCACGGACGGCCATTTTTATTAGGTTTTGGTTTATTCTTGCCTTTAAAAATTACCCACACACAAATAGCTCGCAGCAAACATGCGTGCATCCTTGTACCCTGTGCTGCCTGGTTCCTTTCTCAGACGAGAGCAGAGTACTGTACCTGGCACTCTGCCCATGCCTTCCCTATTGTCGTGGGGTCCCCAAGGTTAGCCCGGGGTCGGCTGGGGAAGGCATCCCGATGCTTTCTCCGTCATCACAGTGCTCCACTGTGCTTTACCGTAGACCTGGCACTGTGTCTGCCCTTTGACATGTTAAAATTGTTGCAGCAAGTAACCTTGTGTCATTTCTATTTCTGTCAGTTTATTTGGGGGATGGATTTCCACAAAGGCTAAATGTATTTGTAATTTTTTACATGCCAAGTTTTTTTTTTTTTTTTGGTTACTGTCATTGCCAAGAAATTATGCATTTAGAAAAAATTGATTTTATTTATTTTATTCCGTCTGCGCTGGGTATTCATTGTAGCCCATGGGCTTCTCTAGCTTTAAGGGTAGTACCTAGTTGACCTGAGGCATGTGGGATCTTAGTTCCTCGACCAGGGATCAAACATGTCCCCTGCACTGAAACGTGGATTCTTAACCACTGGACCACCAAGGAATTCCCAAGAAATTCTGCAGTTTTGACTTGTATTTCTTCCCTTGATCCAAGCATTTTTAAAGAGCAAATACTCCCCCCTAACTATTAGACAATGTGCTAGGATTAGGCATAGTTTTTAAATAAGTAAAGAAGTCTTCCTGCCTGCACTCTCCTAACATCAGTATTTTGATTATTTTTGCATTTTCTCCTCCAAGGGCTTACTTTTTTTTTATGCTCCTGCATGGGTCTAATCATAATGGGATGCGGTTTCCTCCATCCGTTCATTTGTTCCGACAGCTTCTGAGTGCCTATTATGCGCCAAGCCTGGCGCTGCGTGCTGGGGATGAAGAGATGAGCAGGACAGGTTTTCTACCCGAGGAAGCTCGTCTGCATGTCACAGACATTATACGTCTTCATCATCTCCATATTTTTAATTTTGTTTTGAATGTTTAGCTTTCTTTCAGCTTTTTTGTTGTCCTGTAGATGCAGTGAGCCTCATAAAAGGTGCAGTTTTATTTTTCTCTTGGTTTGTTTTTCCTCTGGATGCATTCTTAAAACTGAGGTTCTGCTGGGTTGGGGGGAATTTGACAGTCTCGTTGACCTTTGTTCTGTGTCATGGTCACATATTTGACTCCAGAGCAGGGAGTCAGGGACTGTGGTGTGTTTCGTTTTTTTTTTTTTTTTTTTAAGATATTTATTTCTTTTTGGCTGTGCTGGGCCTTCTCCAGTGCTGGTGAGTGGGAGCTGCTCTCTAGTTGCGGCGTACAGGCTTCTTGCTGCAGTGCCTTTTCTCTTGTTGCAGAACATGGACTCCAGAGCGCAGGATCAGTAGCACAGGCTTATTCACCCCATGGCATGTGGGATCTTTCCGGACCAGGGATTGAACCAGTGTCCCTTGCATTGGCAGGTGGGTTCTTAACCACTGGACCACCAGGGAAGCCCAGGGACTGTGGTTTTGATCCTAGGCTCCAGTGTGATTCCTGACACTCAGCCCGTGTCTCCTGAGGACTTGTGTCCACGGCTGTCAGCGTGTGCTGCTCACATACCCCCACTGCCCTGGGTCACTGCCCCCGCCCTGCCCCGCCCCAGGGGCCCCACAACTGCCCTCTCTGAAGATGCCGTCCACTCTCTCACCGCGATTTCCCACCACCCTGAGCTTGCCCGCCCTGGAGACCTCTGCCTCCCGACTCCGTCTAACCTTGCCTTCACTTCCTGTTGTTCCGCAGCTGCTCCCTCTCTCAACCCACCCACCCCTTCGGCCTGTCTCCACCATCACTCTGTTTTTTCCCTGTGGGCTCTGCTCCCACCCTCCTGGCTCTGCCCGCCCCTCCCCAGCCCGTTGCTTCTTCCATCCCGGTTGCCGATGGTGCATTGACTGGTGCCGTCGCAAATGCATGGGCTCCAGTTGGTGCTGGAATTGCGGTGCTGCCCTGCAATCTTGCTTGTCCCTCCTCAGCTGCTTTCCACATCACCGTGGCGGCTCTTTCAGACCTTCGCCAGGTCCACCAAGCCTCTTCCGCTCGCCCAGCCTCGCCCCTGGCCCCTGACCTTGCCTTCCCCTTCCCAGAGAAGACAGCGGCCTGCGGTCTCCATCCGCTCTCGTGAGGAAGGGAACCACCGTCCGCTTAACTGGGGGCCGTCCACGTCCTTCCTCCTCTCTCCTCCCAGGTCTAGTCGGACCCAAGTCTCCTTTGTTTCTGTGACAAACACAAAACCCCGTGAGGACACCCCCTCTGCTCCCGCCTGTCATCTTTAAACATGGAAATGAGATGCAGTCACAACTTACTGAATAGTCTTCAGCCTCCTTACAAACCTGAAGCACAGCCC